ATTCGAGATAGGTTGCCAGGCAACAAAACATACGCCCACAGCAGCTAAATCGTCCGAGCAGTCGACAAGGGTTGTCACATATTTATTCTTTTGTAGGTAATTAGGGGAATTTGATAGACAATTTCATACAGATGACATTACAATTTTTGTCGTTTGAAGGTTCACAAGGTTCTAAAAACTAAACCAAGGGCCATAACTCTGGAAGCAATCTACATAAATTGTTCAAATTCGACAGGCTTTTTCGTTTTACTAATTCAAATAATGCATATAAATTTCATACAGATCGGATGATAACTTTTGTCATTGGAAAATTCACAAAGTTCAACAAAGTAAATCAAGGGCCATAACTCAAGACGTAATTGACGGAAATTGCTGACATTCAATAGGCTTGTTCGGCTTCATTTCACTAATTTAGGTGATAACTGAAACTCAATAGGCTTGTTCGTTTTACTAATTTAAATGATACATATAAATTTCATACAGATCGGATAATAACTTTTGTCGTCAGAGCATTTACAAGGTACAACAAAGTGAAACAAGGGCCATAACTCACGGCGTAATTAACGGAAATTAATGAAATTCAATAGACTTCTTCGTTTCACTAATTTAAATGATGCATATCAATTTCAAACAGATCGGATGTTCACAAGGTGCAACAAAGTGAAACAAGGGCCATAATTCCAGAAGAAATTAACGGAAGTTATTAAAATTAAACAGGCTTCTTCATCTCACTAATGCAAACAACATATATAAATTTCAAAACAATCAGATGGTAAATGTAGTCTGATGGACAGTCGGCAATATACGACCACATTTCCATGTGGGCGTATAAAATTCAATAGGTGATAGAGCATTCAGTATTCATGCACCAAAAGTTTGGAATTCATTACCTTTTAACATCAGAAATTCTACAACAATTACAATTTTTAAGAAAAATACTAAAACTTATTTATTTAAAGAAGCTTTTAATTTATAACTAAAGTATTTTTTGAAGAATGTATATTTTAATCCAGATCGCGATATTTAAATAGTCTTATTTTTCTATTCAATAGTTTTCTTATATTATATTATTTACAGTTTTATGTATAAGTTTATTAAATTTTATGTTAGTTTATTTTATTTCTGAATTATTGTATTGTACCTTGTTTGTTTTATATTGTTTTTACTTTGTAAAGCGCATTTGAGCACTATGTGAATTGTGCGCCATGTAAATGTTCTTAATAATAATAATAATCCATCAATTATTGGCTGCTATCAAATCCAAACTTTAAATTATATACGATGAGCTTTTACACATTACTTCATTACTCGCAGCTTCGGTTAATCTAAATCAATCATCCATACAGCACAGTGCCATAAATCACTCCGCAATTCGCTTAACGGTAAGTCACGTGGTCAGAAACATGCCAAAACATGAGGGACTATATTCTTACGCCGTGTTACTTGGCGAAAAGTATTTAGCAAGTCTTGACCATCCCCGGTATCTGATAATAATGTATTCTGATGCATTAAAACGATATGGATGGGGGGGGGGGTACACTGTGAAGGTCAAAAAAGTAACAGCGCCATGTATTTATTATTTTACAAATTATGTATAATACTGTACATGTACATGCATTCAACCAAGGGATATTAACTTACAGGATTTTGCCCAGCCGTCGAAAAATCTCCACTGTATGTGGCCCATTTCATTTTGGTGGAAGTGAATATTAAATAAAGCCATTTCACACACACAGACAGGTGTACATTACACGCACATGTCATAACAATCGCCACGAGTGTATTAATTCTCACCTTCACCTGTTATAATTATATAGTCCCCGTGTCGAACCCACACTAGAAGAATGGTATCGTTTAGAACAGGGTTTTTAGCGCTGGAAAGTATGCATATAGTTTACTTTCAAAACATCGTTCGATAATTGATAAAAAATAGTTTAAGAATTACAAAACTGGTTTAGTTAGTACCATGGCTTAGTTCAGTGGTTCTCAACCTTTTTTGCTAACTGCACACTTTGGAACACATGGAAAAATAGCGGCACACCTGGCTAAATATGTATGAAAAATATTTGAACTTTGCAACATAAAAACATGGTAGTCAGATGACATACAACTGTAGACAGAGACTGGTCATAGACACATAGAACGACTCAGACTAAATAAAGAGAAACACAGCTATGAACTTATCAGCAGACACCCGTGAATACTCAATTGGGATCACATAGTTTTTCGCATAATCTTACTGTGTTGTTCAAAATTTTGCGGCACACTTAGGAAGATCTCGCGGCACACCTGTGTGCCTTGGCACACTGGTTGAGAATCACTGGTTTAATGGTAACGGGTTTAGTTTTCCGAGAGGCGTTTATAAATGGACGACCCGTTCACTTATTTACAGCGTTTATTTATTAGACGAGCCGTTCACTTTTTTATTCGTACTTCATATGTAAATAATCGTAATCAAAATGAACCGATCGGATAAACGGCTCGCAGGAAATTAAAAGGTTCATCTAATAGTTCAACTCCGTAGATAAATTAATCGTGTGTTGATTTTTCAACGTATCACGGGAAAGTAAAGGGCTCATCTAATAAGTAAAGGCTGTAGATAAGTAAACCGTGTGTTGATTTTTCAACGTATCTCGGGAAAGTATATGGCTTGTCTAATAAATAAACGCTGTAAATAAGTGAACGGGTCGTTCATTTATAAACGCCTCTCGGAGAAACTAAACCTGTTACCATTAAACTAAGCCATGATACTAACTTAACCATTTTTGTAATTCTTAAATGTTTTTTTTATCAATTATCGAACGTTGTTTTGAAAGTAAACTATATGCATACTTTCCAGTGCTAAAAAACCCGTTCTAAAGGATATCATTTTTCTAGTGCCAACCACTCAATCTTTTGGCGCGTTTATGACCATGTGACTTACCGGTATGCACATTGCGGAGTGATTTATGATGTGCTGTATGGATGGTAGATTAAGATTAACTAAAGCTGCGAGTAATGAAGTAATGTGTAAAAGCTCATCGTATATAAACTAAAATTTGGATTTGATAGCAGCCAATAATTAATGGAATTACATCTAAGTTATAGACGAAGATCAAAAGATACATTTAAAATACATTTAAAAGATAGGTTGCCAGGCAACAAAACATACGCCCACAGCAACTAAATCGTCCGAGCAGTCGACAAGGGTTGTGACATATTTATTCTTTTGTAGGTAATTAGGGGAATTTAATAGACAATTTCATACAGATGACATTATAATTTTCGTTGTTTTAAGGTTCACAAGGTTCTAAAAACTAAAACAAGGCCTGTAACTCTGGAAGCAATCTACAGAAATTGTTGAAATTCAACAGGCTTTTTTTGTTTTACTAATTCAAATAATGCATATAAATTTCATACAGATCGGATGATAACTTTTGTTGTTCGAAAGTTCACAAAGTTCAACAAAGTAAATCAAGTGTCATAACTCTAGACGTAATTGACAGAAATTGCTGACATTCAATAGGCCTGTTTGTCTTCATTTCACTAATTTAGGTGATAACTGAAACTCAATAGGCTTGTTTGTTTTACTAATTTAAATGATACATATAAATTTCATACAGATCGGATAATAACTTTTGTCGTTAGAGCATTTACAAGGTACAACAAAATTGCTGAAATTCAATAAGCTTCTTCGTTTCACTAATTTAAATGATGCATATGAATTTCAAACAGATCGGATGGTAACTGTTGTCATTAGAGCATTCACAACATTCAACAAAGTGAAACAAGGGCCATAACTCTAGATGTAATTAATGGAAATTACTGTAATTCAATAGGCTTCTTTTTTGTACTAATTTAAATGATGCATATAAATTTCATACAGATCGGTTGATAACTTTTGTCATTAGAGCATTCACAAGGTGCAACAGAGTGAAACAAGGGCCATAACTCCAGAAGAAATTAACGGAAATTGCTGAAATTCAATAGGCTTCTTCATTTCAGTAATTTAAATGATGCATATGAATTTCAAACAGATTGGATGATAACTTTTGTCGTTAGAGCGTTCAAAAGGTGCAACAAAGAGAAACAAGGGCCATAACTCCAGCAGAAATTAACAGAAGTTATTGAAATTAATTAGGCTTCATCATCTCACTAATGCAAACAACATTTATCAATTTCAAAACAATCGGTTGACAAATGTAGTCTGTAGAGTGTTCACAAGAAATTGTGGACGATGGACGGACGGACGGGGGCGACAGCAATATACAACCACATTTCGATGTGGGCGTATAAAAACTGCAAGTTGTTCATTGATCGCATACATGTTGGCCCACTAATGCATGTACATATGTACAGTGCGTTAGAAAACGTTTTCCCGAGATTACATAACTCATTTTTTTATTATTCAAACGGCCTGTACGTTATACATGTACACATTTTCATGACGAAAGGCTCGCGAATTCCTTGCGTGAAGCATGGCAAAACATGATGTATTCTTAGCGAAACACGGCAAATTCTTAGCGATACAAGGTAAATTCCAAGCAAATCTTAGCGAAAAATGGCTGCAGAATCAAGCGAAATTTCACCACGAAATTTAAGAAAATTCTGTGTGGGTTTTTTTTCGCTGCGTCGCCACGATTTTGGCACAAAAAATTTGAGAGGGACTGTATAGATATTCACGCATATCGGACAATAACTTCTGGATTATGGCCCCTGATTTATAATATTTATCCAATTTTGATGAAACTTAAAATATATTTTTATAACCTAAAGACTGGTTCCTTTTTGATATTGTTGCTTGTCAGACTGTAACAACCTGGATTATGGCCCCTATTGTATGAAAATTGCTTTTTTAGCTTGTTCTTGGAAAATATGGACGTATCTTGCGTGGCAACCGCTTGTTTATAACATTTGAAGCCAGGAAAAAAAACTGCAATAGACAAATTTAGGTCTAACATAATGCATCTTTAACAAAGTAGATAACAGATTGCAGTAACAGTGAATATAGCAATACTTACAACTTTATACTGATTATCTTTTTGTTTTGGTGAACCATTTGCTTGTGATTTAGTTCCTCTCATCTTCATACCCTCTTTATAATAATAATAATAATAATAATATATATACAAGTTACTAATACAGGTCTACAGTGATTCTGATCGTAAAATGATTAATCCATGCTTGCATCAGCTTGGATTCAATCAAATTAACTAGAGCATCGCTAACGCTGCAATATACGTCCACATTCCTGCTTTCATTGATATGTTACTTTTTAAAATCAAAAGAATGAAATATGAAATGGCTGCAATGACTGTAATATGACAAGAGGCAAAGAAGGTAATGCGTTAGGTTTGTTTTGCCAAATTTAGCGCCAAAATAAACAGTTGCTGTCTTTATGGTATAAGGAATCAAATTCAAAGTTCCAAGATGATCCATTCCGAATTGTAAATTGTAGCCTGTCGATGTTAACTACAACCAGCGGCTGCCAGGCAGGATACGCCCACATTTTCGAGAGATGGATAGAGAACAAGCTAAAACGAAAGTGATTTTTCCTACAATCAAGAGCCATAATTCAGGAAATTACAATTCGATATGCACAAATATCGAAAGGAACCAAGATCTTTTGGTTATAAACTTACATTTCAAGTTTCAACAAAATCGGATAAAAATTGTGACCTCTATAGGGTCCACAACCTTGATATACCATATTTTTACGCTATTTGAGAATGAGGAGCGGCCATTTTGTCTGTCAGTTTTTGGTTGATTTTCACGAAATTCGAACTCAGCCGTCCTTAGGGTGTAACGGTGATATAATAATACGTTTTTTTAAATCGGATAAAAATTATGACCTCTATAGGGTCCACCAGCTAAAAACGCGATTTTTCGTACAATCAGGGGCCATAATTCAGGAAGTTACAGTCCGATACATGCCAATATCAACAGGAACCGAGATCTTAGGGTGATAAACCTAAATTTCAAGTTTTATTGAAATCGGATAAAAATTGTGACCTGTAGACTGTTCACAAACAATTGTGGACGGACGGACAGGGGCGACGACAATATACGTCCACATGACAATGTGGGCGTATAAAAATTGGGAATGGTTAGATTTGAAACAATATAAATAGGTACCACCTTGTTATTGAAATGATTGATATGCTGAATTTGAACAAAATCTGTCAATTATAGCTACCTCTAGCGTATTTACAGACAAAAAAGTGGGTGTGGTAGCACACCCCTGGGGGTCAGGACATGTACCAAAATAAATAGTTGCTATCCTTACAGGAATAAATATGCCAAGTTCCAAGATGATTCATTCTGAATTCCAGCTTGTAGACAAAAACCACAAAAATTGGGCGTGGTTCTGCTGCTGGGGGTTGGACATGGACCAAACTAAATAGGTACAACCCTATGATGGATCATTCTGATTTGCAGGGGAGATTGGGGGGGGGGGGAATAAGCATACCAAGTATTAAGGTCATCCATTCAGAATTGTGGCCTTCGGGCGCTAAACACATAAATTGGGCGTGGCTCTGCCTCTGGGGATCGGGACCATAGAAAAAAAGACTAGAATAGCAATCACGTGACTTTTGACGTCTGGTGACGCGACTGTCAGGCGTCATCTTGGAAGGTGTAGTCAGTGTAAACAATATGGCGGATCACTCGGAGCACTTAACTCAACCACACACGAAAAACGATATGCGTGGACTCCAGTGTTTTGCTTTTGGATGTTTTCTCCACAAAAAGCCCTCGACGAAAGCACAGGGTGTTAGTTTTCACAAGTAAGTATGAACATTTAATTAAATAGGTTAGGAAAAGCCAAATCATTCTACGCTACCCACTAGGGCCTTGTGCAATTTTACCGAGCAATCGTAATAATTAGTTATAGATTATTTTCTAAACTCAGATTTTTAACAAATAAATCTAACAAATTGCATTGCATTTTCTCATGTGGTGGTGTTTTGATTTTTACCGCTAACTCCATACATCTAGGCCTATTGACAAATATAATATTAATTAATACACAAATGTAAACATTATGCCGAGGTTTCACAATTCACATACCGGTGCCGTCATACTCATACACAATAGCCTAGCTGTAATCCAGAAATTAGGTATAGGCCCAATCAATATCGATTATGAAGTTACGCTTAAATTTTAAATGAAGAGAGGTTGCTTAATCATATGAAGTGTAGCCTAACTCTAGCTTTTTCTATTTTAGGCCTAGATCTACTAGGCCTATACTATTTTAATTTTAAGTAAACTTTTACTCCTGTTTGAATAATCGCACACACGGTTTTTCTCGCATGCATATTTGAGACAATAACTACAGATAACAACGCGATCTCTTGACAGGCCAAAGATTAAAAATTAAAAACTTGAATATATAAGTTTTGACAACTTTTTAACTATTTCCAAGACTTTGGGAAAGCAATGTTTATAAGTACATGTAATCATATTTCCTCATTTCGTGAACATGTTATGACGTGGTATTTGTTTATTTATTTCATAATTCGTAATATTCCCCCCCCCACTCTCCCAATGAATTAGATCAGATATCGTTCACATAAGTTTTTGTTTATATTTTGTAGAAAACCACTGGTCAGTCTATGACACCTCAATAAAAGATCGACACACAGGCATAATTTTTAACATGTTTTTAACATTTCCCGAATTAATTCGACAACCAAATCATCCAGTCAGCTGTATTCTATAGCCCGGTGGTGACACAACAAATTTAAAATGGAAGAACCGACAGACTGACAGCACTACACACAACCAGGAATACTCTCTCCATCGCAAATGTCAGAGAGAGAGACGTTCACAAATTGGCAAGGCTAGGGCGGCCTTCTCGTCTATTGTACAGAACATTGACAAATTCCTCACAGCGATAGAAACTCGTTTGGATAAAGTAATAAAATCTTGATAGAACTTAACGTCCACAGAATTGAATTTACCGAAAGTTTTAGTAAAATTGAATATCTAACCCTTCAAGATGAGACTGTTCTTAAAGAAGACACTACGCTGTATGATATTACTGCAGAAAGAATACTGGGGTTCTAAAGACAGCTTAATGTAAAAAGAGATATTTTACCAGACAGAAATTTTGATGCCGAGACTGGAGCCCAAAGGACTCGTAGTTCCAGAAGTGGTAAGCGTATGACACACTCTCGGAAATCTGACAGACGACGTTCGGCTATTCTAGAATCCGCGATAGTCGAAATAAAGTCTCAGACTGAAAAGGAGAAACAAGAAGCAGAGATGATCAAGCTTAAACAAGATGAAATTCACTGACAAATAGAGTTGGAACACAACATGTTAAGAATCTGGAATTGAAAGTAGAATATTTGCAGTTAAAGGCAAAGCTGGAATCCGTCGATGATGACAAAATAAATGAATTTGAAGATCGACCAAAAAGTTTAATCGATACTTTAAAATCCTGACACCCAGCATCAATTGTAGATCTTGAAGAACTTACTAGAGAATCAGTGATACCGACTCCGATAACGGTAACTAAATGCGGTCAAGAGCACACATCCCATTTTTAAAGGAAGAAGTTTCATCATCGATTGATGTAGAAAAACATGGTCAATTAATGGCTACAACGACTCTTCCACCCCTCAAGCCTATTGTGTTTAAAGGTGACCGCCTACAATTCCAGAAATGGCGAAGCAGTTTCAAGATTTGTTTCGAAAAAAGGACTAGTGACCCGGAAGAACTTTTAAGTTATCTAGCCGATTACACATCCGGTGATGCCTACAGAATACAGGCTAATATCCCTTCTACGAATAACTTCTCAAAAGCCATGAGAAAACTTGACGAAGAATATGGTAATCCCATCGCAATTTGTAAAACCTACATGAAGAAATTGGAATCTTGGGAGAAGATAAAACCTAACGATGCAAAGTCTCTACAAAGTTTGCGAACTTTAATGAAAACTGCTCCGAGTCACTGAAAGGTTTTGGATATACATGTACATGTACTGGCCATGGACTTATTCCCTGTCTACATGAAAGGAAACTTCAGAGAAAAAATTCAACGACTGACACAGAGTAAAGAATATGGAACCTGCATTCGACATGTTGTTATAACAGATACGTGTAACTAAAAGTTTGTTATTACATACTATGTGTAACTAAAAGTCTGTTGTTATTACATGCATGTGTAAGTTATTGTAAAAGTTTATTGTTATTACATACTATGTGTAATTAAAAGTCTGTTGTTATAACACGTATCACAGAGAACTGCTAAAGGGTGAATCTGTGCACAGCCACCCTAAAATTCTCAATCATCGTTGTTATTTGTACGTGTATCGAAAGAAAATTAATTTTCCGACTATTACTCAGTATTACCGCCTTAAAACTGTTAATAAGGTGTGTTAATTAACAAGGGTGAAAAATTGTCTGAGAGGTGCGTTAATTAACGCTAGGGGTGAAAAACGGTGCGACAGTGCGTTTTCAGTAGAGGTTTGTTAATTAACCGACCGGTAAACAATGAATGTCAATGTCGGGTATTGTTTAATTGGCGTGTTTTCTTGCTAGTTGCGATAACTGCATCAAAAGGAGTATAATCAAGGACCAACAGGCTTTATCTGACACGTACGTGTTGCATCAAAATTTGGGAAGTAAAACTGTTTTACCGTGCGATTTATCATTCGACCGTGTGTTTTACGCAGGTCTTTGTATAATTAAAGGCAGGTCTTTTGACAGCCGTGTGTGCTCGCTATGATCTACGTTTCTCTTAGGTGTCTTTTGTATTGCGTACCATATATATAAAGTTGAATTTAATGAAATAAAACTACGGATCTATCTTATACGAAAAGGCGAATGTAATGTCGTCATTTATAAATACCCAGCAGTCAGCGCCCAATTTGAATATCCACGGGAATATAGAGAGTAAATCCAGCAAAAACAACATAAATATATTTCTGCTTTATTACTAAAAAGACGCACACTCACCGTTTGACATTTATTAAATTTTTAAAAACGTGCCACGTTGCGTAAATTGTGCATCTTACCTTCAATAGCAATATCCATAAAACAGAAATCTCCATATTGATAAATAATACGGCACAACCAACCGAACAGTGGT